CCCCCCCCACTCACCCCTACCCCCAGAAAAGAACACTCCTCCACAGCAAACCTCCACAGTTTTTGTTTTTTCAACTTAAAGAGTGATGAAGAGGAGGTGAAGATGAGCGGATATCTCAGTGGATTACTCGCCCCTCGTGCACGTGTGTGTGTGTGTGTGTGTGTGTGTGTAGGTGTCAGGTTGTGGTCTCCTCCTCCGTCCTCCTCTGTTTTTTGGGAGGGTTCAAACACAGTCACCTCTTTGTTCAGGACAGAGAAGAACCTTCTGGACCGACCACTTCCTGTGGGGAAAGAGGAGAAGGAGAGGAAGGAGGGAGAGAGGTGATGAGAGGAAAGAATGAAGGAGGTCAGAAGAAGAGGAGCTGAGAACATCTGCCCTGAGTTGACTTCACTCAGACCACGATGAAAGTCACAGAAGACGAAGGACGAGGGAGTGTAAACAGTAGTTCAAAGTCGAGAGAAGATAAAAGGTTCCTTTAAAGTAAAACATGGTGAGGTTCAAGAACTGAAGAACGTTTGGTTTTCACACCTGGGTCCACCTCCCTGTCTGTCAGACGGGTGGAGGAGGAGGAGGAGGTGGAGGAAGAGGTGGGCCTGGAGTCTAAGCCTGGTCTCCTCATGAATATTAACAAAGCCTGAGCTCAGGCTTTAATCTGACTGATACCAACACTGTCGCTGCTGCTGCTGCTGCGGCTGCTGCTGCTGCTGTTGCTGCTGCTGCTGCTGACACTGCTGATGCTGCTGCTGCTGCTGATGCTGCTGCTGCTGCTGACACTGCTGCTGCTGCTGATGCTGCTGTTACTTGTGCTGATGCTGCTGTCACTGCTGCTGCTGCTGCTGCGGCTGCTGCTGCTGCTGTCACTGCTGCTGATGCTGTTACTGCTGCTGATGCTGCTGCTGCTGCTGACGCTCACATGATAGCAAATCTAATTATTTGCTCTGATATTAACCCACCTCCTCCTCCTCCTCCTCCTCTTCCTCCAACACCTCCATCGTTTCCTCCTCCCCCATCAGTCAGTCCACCTCCAGCACAGCCTGCAACGCCCTTCCTCTTATCAAGCCCAAAAATGCCTCCTCCTCCTCCTCTTCCTCCTCCTCCTCTTCTGATAAAAGTTGAATGTAAATGATTCTCAGACTGATTTCAGTTCACACTCAGGAACCACTGATGATGATGAAGATGATGAAGATGACATCTGTGTGTGTGTGTGTGTGTGTGATCAGGACTCAGACGGCTCCAGTCTCCAGTTACAAATTAAAACAAAAGCAGTTGTATCTGAACATCAACGCCATGAAACAGGATCTGCACTGCCCCGACACACACACACACACACACACACACACACACACCGTCCTGAACAAACAGAAAAGTTCTGCTACAGTACAAACCTGTTGTTCTCTGAACGTCATCTGTCCAGTCTGTGTGTGTGTGTGTGTGTGTGTGTGTGTTTGTTGGCAGTTTGTTTCAGATTGAAATAAAAGGAGGTTCAGATAGAACAGCTCTGGGGGAAAAAACGTTTTCTGGCCCAAAAAAAGTCTTTTTTTTTTCTTTTTTCCCCCTCAGGTGAAATTCTGGACTCTCACACACACACACACACTCACACACACTCCCACAGACTGAGGTGTG